CGTGGCCCGGGAGAGCCCTTGAAGGGACCGGGAGCGTTCTCGTGGCCCGGGAGGGTCCGGGAACGCTCCCGAGGGCCCTCAATGGGGAAATCCCCGCTCTATCGCAGAGGTTTTCCCGGTGCCGGGCGGCTCGGTGGGGATAAGGGCGCTCTGTGCCTGGTGTTGGGCCGGGGTTTGGCTGAGCGAGTGATTCCAGAGGAACTCATTGTGCCCTTGGAAGGGAGAACTGGAGGATGGAGTAGAAGGAAAAGACAAAAAAAAAGAAAAAAGCTCGACGTGTTGGTTTTATTGGGTGAGAAGCGTCAGCCAGGTGTGATCTCACCTAAATAGGAGAGTGCTGGTGGGAAAATGAGAATTTTCCTTCAGGCCTGGCGCCCATACACGTGTTCAGTGTGCTCAGGGAGCCTCTCCCCTGGTGCCTGAGGTCAGGCTGACTCTGGTAACTCACCTTTGGTGTTTGATTTCTACCTCTGATCCCTTCTCCTTCAGAGCAGGTCCAGGCCAAACCCAGGAGACAGTGGATGATAACAACCTGTGCACCAGCTACACTTGGATATCCAGCCCCTGACCAGCCCCTCTCATCTCACCCTGTCCTTCTCACTTCATTAAACGTCTCTGGCCTCTTAAAATCAATTCACTGGGGCTTTTTTTAAATCTGATGTCAATTCAGTTGTAGCCTAGTAAATCCCCCATGGTAAAAGAACTTTCTGTACAAGCTGTGGGGAGTTTACCTTGACACAATTCTTCGACGAGATTTTTATTCTTTGATATTTTTGCTCTTTTTTTTCCTTTTCAGAAACACTTGCATGGTGTTCTCTGTGTGCAGCTGGAGGCAAAGGTTTAAAGAGACATTTCAGCTTGCTTTCTATGGAGTAGGTGGTAATTACAGCTGATTCAGATGGTTAGTGGGGATTACAAGTGTGAGGGATTTTGTAGTGTCTCTCCATCACTCTTCTTCCCAGAAAAATGCAGCTTTTCTCAAAAAGCTGGGGAAAAAAATCCCAAACACAGGGCTTGTTTATTTTGCTCAGTGAGACTTCTCTTAATGTCTCTTTAGAACACCAAAATGTATTTGTAAGAGCCCCAGGGCCTTTCAAGTAGGGAGATTTCCCAGTTCTCGCTCCTTTCTGGTGAACCAGCGCATGCAGACTGTGTCCCCCTTGCAGCAGAGGTTTATTCAGAGACTCTGCTTTCTGCAGTGTGACTGTCCTTGCTTAGAAGGGCAGTGCTGAATTTTTAAATCATGTTTAGCCCACGGGAAAGTCCTCCAGGCTCTGTAGGCTTAAGCACTGAGCTTGCAGGAGTTTTGTGAACAGCTGTGTAGGAAGCTCTGGGCTGGGTTGGCTGAGCAGTTCCATCACCCTTGTCAGAGCTTTTTTCAGAGTTGGAGGGAAAGGGGAGAAGCAGCAAGAAATCTTGAAATAATACGTTTAGCAGACTTTGGAACAAAGCAGATTTGCACATTCCTGGGAATGTTCAGTAGCTTGTTTTTAGATGTAAGGCTGATTTATAGCCGAAGGTGCAGCAGAGCCTTGTAATTTCACTGTGGAATGTGTGAAATACCTGTACCGGCACAAGAGCTTCAGGCACTTCAGATCAGATGGTGCCCTTGTGCAGATGTGAATCAGAGCCTTTCCCAGGTGTCAAAGCCCTGTGAAACTACAGTTTCGTTCTGCCATTTCCAATCTTGCCAAATCAGGCACAGAAAGACAGGGATCAGGTTTGCTGTAAACACAGATCATGAAGCAACTGCAGAGTGTGAGAAAATGGCACCGAGAGTTGAACCTTTGAGCTCCCCGCCTTTGGCAGAGGACAGAAGTCTCCCCTGCTCCCTGCAGTTTCTGTTTCATTACCTACATACCCTGCCCTGGGAGAATTGTCACTGGGCTTGTTTTCTCACAGGTTGAGAAACCAGAGAGTGGAGTTGCCATCACTTCTCACTGGTTACTCCAGGTGATGGGCATGTCTATTCTCCTGAAACAAGTTGGGGTTTAGGATAGAGGAGAGAGGCTGGGAGAGGGACTTTGGACAAGGGGTAATGGCTTTGCACTGCCAGAGGACAGGGTTAGATATTGCAAAGAAATTCTTCCCTGTGAGGGTGTTGAGGCCCTGGCACAGGGTGCCCAGAGATGCTGTGGGTACCCCATCCTGGAAGTGTTCCAGGCCAGGTTGGACAGGGCTTGGAGCAGCCTGGGATAGTGGAAGGTGTCCCTACTCCTGGCAGGAGGCTGGAATGAGATGAGCTTCAAGGTCCCTTCCATTCCAAATCAGTTTGTGATTCGGTGACAACCTGAATAAAACCTGCTTCCTTGTTAGCCACCACATCCTGTAGGTCCTCCTTTGGAATAACCTGTGTGACCTCTCTGCCCACGAGGGATTCCTGCATCTTACATCCCAGAATCATCTGTGCCCTTGGCCTGCAATCTCTGCACTGGCTCCCTGTGCAGGGATCATGTGTGATGTTGAGGCAGATGTCACCATCTCTGTGCTGCTGGGAGGGGGTGTGGGGACAGTTCACTCTTATGAGAGCTCCCTGCTGCCATTTTTAGTTGCTTCATTTTCTTTCTGTTGTAGAAATAATTGTTGCTTCTCTTTGTTCATGTTCAGGCAGCTTGTGTACCCCTTCCCTTCCCCCTGCTGAGAGACTGCAATAGCAAAGCTCTCCAAAACATGAATGTCTTGCCCAAAAATTGGCAAAGCATAATAGAAGATTAATTGTAAGTAGCCCTTGCTAAAGGACTAAAAGAACTTATTTTTTTTTCCAAAATGATTGCACTTCCATGCTCATTTTTCTTCCACAAGTTGAACTGAAGGAGCTTGTTCTTGCCAACACGTGATATTAATTTGCATTATCATCTGTGATAATAGGTCTTAGATAATATGGAAATTAAGGGAAAAGGAAGACTAGGCTTCAGTCTTCTAGGAAACCTGCAGGGATGCTTTCAAGCCTTTACTTGTTCAGAGTGTTGGATTAGGAATGTGAGTCTTCTTGAGGATGCTTGTTTAAATTCTTGGATCCACGGCTGTTTACTTCTTCCCTTTGTCTTTCATTCCTTTAAGACCATTTTAATTGTTCTGTGTTTTTCTTGCATTTAATTCACTACAATGACCACAACATTTCTGTACTTCAGGTGTTTTTACTTCAGCTACACAGAAACCAGGCCCTGCACCTTGTGCTGCATCTCTTCATTGACTGCCACTTTATATTTGGCTTTTTTCCTCACTTTTTACAGATCACATCTAAAGTCACTGAAATCTAAGGCTAGGAAGTGTTGCAACTTTGCTTCTTCCCCAGCTCCTGCCCTAGCTTATTTAGTAAGTTTGTCAGCACTTATGAAAATAAATAAGGTATTTTAGCTGTGTGAAATGCCCTAGAAGTCTTTAAAGGACAGCAATAAGCAGGTGGATCTGGTAAGATTTCATACTTGGAATTATCTTGGATGTTTTTTTAACTGAATATTTTCCCAATAGGTAACTTCTCTTTGACTGAATGGCTTGGAAGTTTGCTAGCAAAGTTGCATTTAAGCACACTTCAGGGATGCATAGAATTCCCTTCTGATCTAAAATGTTGCAGTTCATATTTATATTTTTTATTTAAAATTCAACTTTTATCCTTTTAGGTGACTGAGTCCAAGGTGGTGGAACATGGCTGGACAAATATCAGAGTCTGACCAGATCAAGCAGGTGAGATGCTGCATTTGGGAGGGGTGGCTTTGAAGGTCTTGTGCTGCTCTGTCACATAGAGTGGAAGGTGTAGGGAAGGACAAAAACTGAGTTATCATCTGAGTTAACACAACCAAAATTTCAACAGATGACCATTGACAAACAGCATGTTTTGTGTACGAGCAGCTTTTGGTGCTGAATTCTTCTGACT